TTCTTTCTTTCTTTCTTTCTTTCTTTCTTTCTTTCTTTCTTTCTTTCTTTCTTTCTTTCTTTCTCCCCCCCCCTCTCTCTTTTCTTTTTTGAGATAGGGTCTCTCAATGGCCTGGAACTTGCTAACTTCCCCAAGAGTCTACTGTCTCTGCTTCCCTAGAGCTGAGATTCCTAGTACACGCCCCCATGCTCAGCTTGTTTTATGTAGGTTCTGGGGATTGAACCTGGGTCCTCATCTTTCAAGGCAGTGCTTTACTGACTAAGCCACAGCTCCCACCCCGTTCCCCTAGCAAAACCTTCGCTATACTGGAACAGGGATCCTTCTTCTCTAGTATGAGCTCATCCTAACACATCTGCACTGATGCTGCATTCCAGTTTTTCACCTGCAATGTCACATTCCGAGACCCTTGAGGCTAGAATTTCAACATATGCATTACAGGGGGACACAGTCCACACATGACAGCAGGCATGGGACGATCACTTCCTGCCAGTGATATTGCAGCAAGAAGCATGGAGTCAGTGTGCAAACAAATCATGCAGACTCCTGAGGGAATGGCATCCCAGGAAGAGGGGCCGGCACATAGGTCTGAGATGAACACAGCCAAGTACAGTAAAGGAACAGAGAAGATGGAGTTGATGGCCGGAGGTGAGAGAAGTGTGATTCAGCAGTGGAAATTCACACCTACGAACCACACTCACAATGTTAAGTGTGTGTGGAGGGGGCTTCTTTTTTTTTTCTTTCTTCTTCTTTTTTTTAATTTATTTTATTTTACAATACCATTCAGTTCTACATATCGGCCACAGGTTCCGCTATTCTCCCCCCTCCCACCCCCTCCCCTTACCCCCAGCCCACCCCCCCATTCCCACCTCCTCCAGGGCAAATCCTCCCCAGAGGACTGCAATCAACCTGGTAGACTCAGTCCAGGCAGGTCCAGTCCCCTCCTCCCAGACTGAGCCAAGTGTCCCTGCATAAGCTCCAGGTTTCAAACAGCCAACTCATGTAATGAGCACAGGACTTGGTGGAGGGGGCTTCTTATTTAGTCAAGAAGTTCTCCAGATCCCTTTGGATAAGGTTTTTATGTAGGTCCTATTACATAGCCTTGATTAATAAGTCAGTGACCACTGACATGGCTTGACCCCCAGCCTTTTAACCACTCTGAGCCTCAGCATGGAGCTGGGATGCTCAGCCTTCTACTCCCAGATTGTCCCTTGAGCATCCAGCCCCTCTCCAGCCAGTCCACGCACGAATGCCAGCTCACGTATGGATGAAGGGAAAAGTTGCTTTTAACACAGGACTCTGTTCACTGCACTTAGAAATCTCAGGGGCTTGGACTCTCTTGCGAACCAGATGAAGTTCAAACGTGAAGGTCTTTCACATGCCTATTTATACATTTTAGTTACAGTTGTGTTTCAGGAACTCTGCCTGGAGAGGCATAAACTGTCTACCCCTCCCTTATAGGGCACTAACAACCAACTGAAGGGTTCCGCCAAAGTCCAGCTTGGGGAGCCAATGGGTTCCTTTGGTTCATTTGCAGAGCCCAGGCGAGGGGCTACTTAGAAGAGTGTGGGTGACCGTAAAGCAGCCGCCCCAGCACAGATGGCAGTTTCCCCATAGATGCATACATGGGGTCCCCCTGCTTTCTGTTAACCTTCCACACACTATATGCGCAAGCACCTCCCGAGACTGCAAGGTCATGTGCAATTACATACCTCCCACTGAGAGGCACAGGAGCGGAGGCTGGAATCAGCAGGCTAGCCTGTGAGCAGTCACTGGTGTGCAGAGGAAGATGGTGCCTGTGGTACTCAAGGATGGGAGCCGTGGGGACCGGGGACAGGAGCCTTTTTTGGATGCTCCTTTGGTAGTCGTGGTGAGCCTGCAAATGTTAGTTCCTTGGAGAATGTGCTCCATGACTCTTAGGCAAAGAGCCCCAGATATGTATTTCTTATGACATCATACCTGTCAGTTTCATACTAAAACAAAAATTTGTATTTTTGGCCTAGTGATTGATGGTGGCGCATGTCTTTAATCCCAGCACTTGGGAGGCAGAGGCAGGCGGATCTCTGTGAGTTCAAGGCCAGCCTGGTCTACAGAGCGAGATCCAGGACAGCTGAGGATCTTACACAGAGAAACTCTGTCTCAAAACAAACTGGTAGTTTCACTTTACAGTGTTCTTATAGACTCTTTCTCAAATTAGTCTCCTGTGGATTCCTGTTAAATTTTTTTTATTTCTTCAGACAAAAATGTCATTATTTTGTGTCAGATAATGCCAGCATCACAGATTTGGGATGTGATTGTGCATCTGGGGTTTCCTTGCCTGTTTTGTGACATTTGAGGCTGTAAATTGCTCTGTGTTCCTTCAGAAGTTATCTGCAGGAAGCTGTCGAACCCAGATGGTGCATGAATGTCTTAGTAAATGTTTAGTTACTTATTTTCATGTTAGTGTCCACTTTTGCTAACTTGCCTACATTGTAAGACCGCTCTTTTTGGAGATCACTGTGCGCTGAGGATGTTCCCGCACAGCTTATGGAAAAGCCCATTCCTCTGGTGGACCACTTCACCAGAGCTGCATAGGCAGCCAAGGCAGCTGTTTTTGCAGGAGGCAGAGGGAATCCACTCAGGGAAACAATGCCAGAACTGGGGCCTAGCCTTTCCCTCAGCAGCCAGCGAGTAGCCAAGAGTAGAAGGGGTCTGAGAAGGTGGCGGTGGCCTTTGCCTGGATGCTACCCAGGTTCTGCTTGCTGTTGGGTGAATTCTCATTTCCCCAAAGTGACACAGTTGTACGGATGGCAAGTTACGGGGTCACTCCAGTCTTAGGCCTAGGTGAGGAGTCCTCACCAGGATGGGAAACAAGGAAGGGGTTCAGTGGGTGAGGCTGTGTGGTTTACATTGTAGACTTCAGGGAGAAGGGACCAGGGTGAGCCCGAAAGGGAACTGAGACCCTCTGTGACAGGCTTCTCCTTCATCTGCCCTTGAGCGTGGGGTCCTCCCAGACCGAAGGGGCCAGCGGTTGGGAGCAGCGTGACCTTGAGTGGGCATGTCTGCATCTGGAATGCTGCGGAAATCCTAGTCTTTCCTGGGTTGGCCAGGAAAGGATCAGGTTACCTTCTTCTGGGCTGTCAACGGAGGGGCTCCCTGGTCGGGATAGCCAGCCTAGGGCTGACTGAGGGGCCCCAGCTGTTCTTCAGGCAGGGAGTGGGAGGGAGGCCGAGCAGAGCCGGGAAGCTCCGGGGACCCACGGGAGAGAAGAGGCCCGGAGGAGGGGCTGGTGGGGCAGGCCGCAGGCGGGGCGCAGGGCGCGAGGCTGGAGCTAGGCGAAGAGACTCGCGGGACCGAGACCCGGTGACCCTCGGCGGCGGCGGCGGCGGCGGCGGGGCGGCGGGGCGGCGGGTGGGTCTGTCCTCTCGGGCGCCACGGGGACGTGCGCGCGCCCTCGGCCTCGCGCCCCGCCCTCCCGTCCTCCCCGCGCCGCCTCCCAGCGCCATTCCCCGAGTCCCCTTGTCCCGACCATGGAGGGTCTGGTGCTGCGCCCCGCCAAGGACTACCGGGTGGTGCTGCTCGGCAGCGTGGCGGTGGGCAAGACGGCGCTGGCCACGCAGTTTGCGTGCGGCCGCTTCCCCGAGCGCTGCGAGCCGTCGGTGGAGGAGCTGTTCAGCAAGGTGATCGAGGTGAACCGGACTCCCGCGCTGCTGGAGATCGTGGACACGGTGGGCGCCGAGCACCTGGTCACCCTCAAGGACCTGTACATCAGGAACAGCGACGGCTTCGTGGTGCTCTACAGCGTGTGCAGCGAGGCCTCGTTCCAGGCCGTGCGGCCGCTGCGCGAGCGCATGGGCCGGCTGCGGGGCTCGCGCGCCGTCCCGCTGGTGCTGGTGGGCACCAAGGTCGACCTGGACGCCGAGCGCCAGGTACTGACGGCCCAGGGCCGCGCTCTGGCCCGAGAGTGGCGATGCCCGTTCCTGGAGGTCACAGCCAAGAGCAAGATGATGGTGGACCGCGTGTTCACGCAGGTGGTGCGTGAGATGGAGGCCCTGGCCCCGCCGGCGCAGGAGGCTCCCCGCATCCCGATCAACGCCCTGGAGTTGTGGCCGACCGAGAGGTTCATTGGCTAGCGCGTTGCGGTCGGCTGGTTCAGTGCCTTTCCCGAGAAAGTTACCGAGAATCGTAACAAGTGGCTGCTTCTATATATTCATCCCAAACGGTGCTTCAATCTGCCTACGTGTCTTTCTTCAATGTTTGGCAAAAACTTGGTAACCTCCCTCCGTTGACCTCCGACTGTGCTATAAGAAGAAACCAAAAATGGCCTTTTTCTGTAAAGAGAATTTACAGCTCTGTTCTTCAATCAGCTTGTTTCTGGACTCTCACCCCCCCACCCCACCCCCCACCCCCGCCTAATTTTTGTAAATAGCAACTTGAGAGCTTTGGATTGGTTGGGGAGTCAGCACTAAAGACAAATTTTCTTCAGTTGCAGGAGGGTTTTCTCTCTCCTTTTTCAGCCTTGAATCCAGCAGTAAGATTTTCCTCAACACGAATTCCTAAATATAGTTATGACTTGTGCCGGGTCGGTTTGAAAGGGGATACTGTATGGAGGACAACTGTGCACACACGAAGCTGGCTCAGCCCTACCTTGTAATTGACAGTTAGCTGGTTTCTACATCCCTGCATTGGAAATAAAATTAGAAGCTGGTAATTCTTAACATGTGTCTTTCTAGCTTATGTGTAAACCGATAATTCCAAAAGCTTTATTTCTTAACGATTTATTTTTAGTGTGTGTGTGTGTGTGTGTGTGTGTGTGTGTTGCTAATATATATGTGGGCACACGTGTGTGTAAGGGGACAGCCAGGTTTTGGTCCTCCCGTTCCCCTTTGTTTGAGACAGTGTGTGCTTTTTGTTCACCGGCTTCTGGATTCTTGAGTCTCCTCTGCACATCTTGTTAAAGGAGTTCCGGAATTACAGTACAGGCTGGGATTTGAACTCAGGTCCTCAGGTTCGCACAACGCGTGATTTCCCTATTGAGCCATCTCCCCAGCCTCTAATTCTTAAAGCTTTCACATACCTTGTCGTTGAGTTATTTTCCAGGAAACAGAAGTGTGTAAGGAGGAGGGAGTGGCGCCCCGTCTCCTGGTGTATTTCTGCAGAAGTGCTGCCGTGAGCCAAGGGGCTCGTTTACATGTCTCCCCCCCCCTTGTTTTCTAGATTCAGACTTTTTTGTCTGAATACCTGCATAGCTGGACAGTGGGTGGACATATGAGGGTCATTTTGTGTCATTTTCATGTGACAGGAGCTGTTTAATGCATCAGTTCAGTAGTGTGGAGTGTTTAAAAACTGACCTTTGAATGTGCATGTACACAAGTTAAGGAGTTCTCCCTAGCTGCAACATAGTTTTCAAATCTAGGGGCCTCACCCTTCTGGGTAACCTTCTAACTCAAACAGAAAGCTTTAGCCGTCCTGTGACCTGAAACAGTTAACATTGTGTAAGGAAAGCTGGCTGAATAGTGAGGGGACAGAGTTGGTTCACTTTTATTTATATGAAATGTGGTACTTCAATAGAAGGTTAGGTACACACACACACACACACACACACACACACACACACACACCGCCTTAATGTAAAGAGCATGTTTCAGAACCCATCTACAGATTCGCCTAGAGAGGGCCAGCTGGCTATGCGGTCCTGACTCCACACTTCCTCCCTGTCCTGAGACAGCCTTTGCAAGCCTTAAAACCCATCACACACACACACACACACACACACACACACACACACACGCCTTGCTAGCCCTCCTGCCAGACCTCAACCATCTCTCTAAGGCCCGGTTTCAGAAACGAGGAGGAGTGTGTGGGAACAGTGGGAGCACTGGGAGCACTTTCCTGGCCTCAGCGCTGTGGTCAAAGCCAGCCCTGCTTCTGGAGCAGAGGGAATAGAAGATTCTCCACGCACCGGACAGGGGCTCTGCAGAGAATGCAGTCCCCAGCCTGGGGGGGTTGGCCCCAGGACTGGAAGCCAGGTGGCCCCTTCCAACTCTCCATCGCCTTGTGCTGAGGCCTTCAAAGACTGCTTATACGTCCCCGGGTCCCAGTCCTTATAAATATCAGGCCTTGGTCCAATAAAACGTTCCCAGCCAGCGTTTTCTGCCTTGGGACTTCTGGGATGACCTCAGATACCCCCAGTCAGATCCAAGTTTCCAGTTGAGAGTCCAGGGCTCTTCCTGGCTGGCTGGTGGACCAAATGAAGGAGCGGAGTGTGAGGCCAGCTCCTCTACCCTCAGGAGTGTGCTCAGGAGTGAGGAGGAAGCAGCTTTCTGGAACACACACAATTAAAGACATGTACAGGAACACACACACACACACACACACACACACACACACACACACACACACACAGTTAAAGATATACACACAGGATTTTCCTGCATATATTTCTAACATCTGTGTATCAGGCATAAGTTGCCTCTGTCCCTTTGGTGGCAAGGAAGGCCTAAATGACTCCATAGTGAATTTGCAAGGGGCAGATAGGACTGTCGGGGTGTTGGGCTCTGGCAGGTGCCGTTCCCAGGTCAGGCATCTCAGGCTGGGGTGAAATGACCTTCCCAGGTCTTGACACTGTGGTGGCCCTGCCCTGGGCAACTAAGGGCCGAGTCCCCTAAGTGGCCCTGAGAGTGTCAGACTGTGGAGCGGAAAGAGTGGAAGAGGGAGGCGGTGAGTACTCCAGCCCCTCCCAGGGCTCAGGCAGGGCTGTTTCTGGCCAGCACACTGCGGTTTCTCTGTGATTAGGGCTGCTGTGATGTAGAGAATTCTTTTGGGGGCTTAAAATAACATCACTCCTCTTCTGAGAAATACTCACTCTCTTCTCCAGTGTTACAGGGCATAGTCTGCCGTGGTAACTGCCTCATGGTAACATGGGGGTCTCGATGTCTGTCATCTTGTGGCAGCAGTCTCCGAGATACACCAGTGACACCCACTTCCCAGTGTTTATTCCCTGTGGTGGCCTCGGCCCTCAAGGCTGGTCTGCCCTTTTAGAGCTCTGTATTTCAGAAACATAATATGACCTGAGTGATGGGATGCCACTTTCTTTTCTTTTCTTTTCTTTCTTTCTTTTTTCTTTTTCTTTCTTTCTTTTTTTTTTTTTTTTTTGAGACAGGTTTTCTCTGTGTAGCTTTGCGCCTTTCCTGGAACTCACTCTGTAGCCCAGGCTGGCCTCGAACTCACAGAGATCCACCTGCCTCTGCCTCCCAAGTGCTGGGATTAAAGGCATACACCACCACCGCCCGGCTCTTTTTTTTGGTTTTTCAAGAAAGGGTTTTTCTGTGTTACAGCTCTGGCTGTCCTGGAACTCACTTTGTAGACCAGCTTGGCCTCACAGAAATCTACCTGCCTCTGCCTCCTGAAAGCTGGGATAAAAGGTGTGAACCACCACCACCCAGCTGGGATGACACTTTGGAAATCACTTCACAAAAGGGTCAACCTCTGCCATGCTTGCCCCCTTGAAAACACACACACGCAGTGACAGGCTCTGTGGCAACAGCGAGGAGCGGATGTCTCCAGCCAGCAGCGACCTCCCAGGTAGACTGGAAATGGGCCCGTCCCAGGCAGGGGATATGAAGATGATGGTGTCCTGCCGACACCCCAGAGACACCAAGTGAATCGGGTGAGAGTCAGCACAGAGGACCCAGCTCAGTACTCCAGTCCCTCAGAACACCAAGGACCCACACTTACCTAGGTTGAGACCATTATGTTTTCTGCCTCGTGCATCGGTAGATAACCAGCATAGCTGTGAGGTTAGACAGGGTGCTGGGCTGGCCGGAACCTCTGAAAATGCAGACACTTTGCACTCTGAGGAGTGTGGTAGCCGAAGGCGAAAGCTCCCCAGGCGGGCCATCATGAGACAGAGGGACTTTGAGGACGCCGGGTGTGGGAGAGGGCTCAGAAGGAAATGAATGATTTGTTACCGGGACTTGCAGGATAACGCGTAGTTTGGTCCTGTTGCTGCCCAGTGGGAAGCTGGAAGTGGCCCACTGCAGTCCATGGCCTGGCAGGGTTTCCGGGCAGGAGGCTGAAGGTGCTGCTTGCTTTGATTTGGCTGTGATGAAAGAAAGAAACAAGGGGCTGGAGAGATGGCTCAGAGGTTAAGAGCACTGGCTGCTCTTCCAGAGGACCTGAGTTCAATTCCTGGCACCTACAAGGCATGGCATAATTGCCTGTAACGCCAGTTTCAAGTGGATCTGAGACCTTCACGCAGACATACATTCAGGAAAAACATGAATGCACATGAAATAAAAATTATAATTAAAGAAAGAAAGAAACAAGACTGCCACAAAAGGACAGACGCCTCATTGTCCCCCTGACTCCACCTGTGTAGCCCGCACGCACTTCTAGTTTCACTCGGGCAGTCCAAAATCCCTCACGCTAACTGTCCCTTTATTTAGTCCACGCTGCTGATGCCCGTCCTGATATGATCCTTCAAGAATCTTCGTGGACCTCTGTGATTCGGGGTCAACCCATTAAAAAAAATAGACACCCCTAAAAGTCTTTGAGAATAGCCCTCTGTACTTTGGACTTCTGTTGGCGTGTCAGGGGCCAGCACCCCCAGATTCCTACAGGTCCTATTGATTGGGTATACCATCTTTCTAAAGGCCTCTAAATCTTTTAAAGTATTCATTAACATATATTTTTAAAGGTTTATTTTATTTTCCTGCTCATATGTCTGTTCACTAAATGAGTGCATTGCTCTCAGAGGCCAGAAGGAGGCATCAGATCACCTAAGACTGTGAGCCACCATGTGGAGGCTGGGGATCAACCTTGGGTCCTCTGCAAGAGCAGCCAGCGCTATGAACTCTGCCACACCTCATCCCCCCCCCTTTTTTTTTTTTAACATTTATTTGTATATATATTTGCCACAGTATGCATGTGGAGGTCAGAGGACAGCTTGCAGGAGTTGGTTCTCTCTTTCCACCAGAGATTGAACTCAGGTCAGCGGGCGTGGTGACAGGCATAACCTTTTTTTCTGTGGCTGAGAACGGCTGAGGCCAGAGCTCCAGTCCAGCCTCTGTGTAGAGGTGGGGGAGGGGAGAGCCAGGTGAGCCCTCTCAGAGTTTCGTGGATCTGCAGACCACAGGACACTGCCTGGAGACATGGCGTGCATGGGGAACCACACTTCAGGTGCCGCCTCCTCTCCAGTATTTCGTAGGGTCACGGGGCCAACGCTTAGGGCGTTGTCTTCAGGCCACAGCACATCCAGCTGGCACTGCCTTGGCTCATGGAGTGATTAATATGGTCCAGAAATGGACATCGTAGCCCAGGGATGGCGGCAGTGACCACTGGGACCTTGCCTCTCTCTCCACCGCAGAAGAGAGCAGGAGTCCAGCTGAAGAAGCAATGGCTTGTCTTGTGGACGCAGCACGCTCATTCAGTTGTGCGAAGAAGGGTAAGTGTGGGTGCTTAGTGCAAGGGGTGATGGTGCTTGCTCTAACCCTCCCCCGCACCAGCGGCTCCTGGGATTGGACTAAAGGTAGAGCTATTGGATCCTCTGGGCACGAGAGTGGACTTCACTTCTTTTACTGGGAAATTAACTCCTTGGCCAGAGAACTGGAGAAGCCCGAGGTTAAACAAACCTTCTTCTCCAAAGCACTTCCCCAAACCAGGAGGCCAAGCAAGCTTTTGATGGGAGCAAAGCTCCGGCTTTGCAAGGAGGTGGGCAAGCT